TAATCTTAATAGCACAGTTGGCTAGAGAGATGGGAAAGAATTTGGGTGACCTACAGAAAACCCAGAATCACACCAACAATGTGGTGGAGAAGGGGAGAATTAGAATATGATGAAATGGTGAGAGTAGCGGCCCGAAGGAAGGAGACAAAGTCAGAGGAAATCAAGACCCTTGGGAAGAAGAGAGGACCTGAGGACCTAAGTGTTACAGATGTGGCAAACCTAGACGCCTAGTGGTGCAATGTCCCCACACTAAATGCTTTGAATGTGGGACTGAAGGACACATCGCTAGACATTTTCCCTACATGCACCAGAGAAGAAATCTACCCAAAAAAGAGCCATTGGGAGTCAACGTCCAGAAGGTATGGAAAAGAAATAGGACGCAATCAGAATCGTCGAGATTGACAGGGATAACCGAGACAGATAAAGAAGTGGAGGAACCAGAGAGCAGTGGAGGCAAAGGAAAGAGGAGCAGACGTTGGCAGGTAACAGCTGGAAGGAGGGAACGAGTAGAGGCCTGAGGAGGGTGACAGCAGAGGGACGACCGTGTGCTATTGAACTAAAGAGTGAGGAACAAGTATGGCGGTCTGCCCATTATCAGAGTTGCAGGTGGTGTGAGATGTCTGGTGGACAAGGGGAGTTTGACTATCATGAGCTGAAGAGACTTTGTGCTGGCGAGAGGACACATGTGATTGATTTCCTGAAATTTGAACAACATTGGTGAATCTAGTTAAGATGTGTATGATGGAAACATTCAATAAAGTTAGAATCGGTAATTATTTATTGGATAAATTTGAAGTTTGAAACTGAGTGATTCTCTTTCACCTGTCCTGTTTAATTTAGTATTAGAACATATGATCAAGAAGGTAACGCTAACAAAAGCCAGTAAAAAAGAAGTATGTCTGAATATATTGAAAAGTTAGGTATCTTGGATCTACGATAACTAGAAGAAAAAAAAATTGAAAAGGAGATTAAGGTTAGGTTGAAGGTGGGAAATGCTTGTAATTTTTTTGTGACAAAACTACTTAGTTCTTGCCTCCTGTCCTGAAACTTAAAAATTAGAATTAACAAAACCATTATCCTACCTACGGTTTATCTTTATGAATCGGAAACGTTGCCACTTACATTAAGGGATGAGCAACGTCTTAAGGTTTTTAAAAAATAATGCATTGAATATTCGGACCGAAGAAGGATAAGTCAACCAGAGAATGTACGCCAAATTGCGTCAACTGTCTGATTAATATAATTGAGGAGATTGTTGGGCTTAGTAACGAAAGAATCCCTTAAAGGTTAATAAGCGCTGTGGTGACTGGTAAACATCCGAGGGGTAGACCGAAGCGAAGGTGAGAAGATTGTATTAAGGCTGATCTGGTGAAGTTAAGTTTGGACAGTGACTGGTGGAGGGAGGTGTGTAGACAGCTAAACACCACATAAATAGGTGGTGTTGGCATAGAACCTTCGGGTTAGCTAAGCCTTTTATTATTAATGTTATTATTCTGCTACTTTCCCTCGTGGTGGACTAATTTTAGCAGTTGCAGACTACAAAATGTCACCTTTAGCACAAATAAAATGAAACTGAAAAATTTTTACATACAACCTTTAACACTAACAGTAGCAATATTATAATGTAAATTGGAGAGAAGAATAGTTGGGATGATCAATCAAATAAGAAGGAAAAAATAAATGATACTATTTATTTTGACATTAGCCGACGTTTCGACCTGAAGTTCAGACCATCATCAGGGCTAAGAAAAGAACCAGATAACAAGGTATGAGAAACATTAAGTAGTGTAGGAAAAAAAAAAATTAAAGTAAAATTCAGTTGTTAGAATAATGACAATATTAAGAAAAAAGAGATAAATGATAATAAGCGGTACAAAGTGTGGAATGATGAATTTAACATAATGAAAAAAAAAAAGGTGACATAAGTATTAAAATGGGAATCTTAGAATAAAATGTAAAAAACAGAAAAATATGAAGTTATATAAGAAATGGAAATAAACAGTAAAATTAAGATATTGTGAATAAAATAGATAGAAAATTGAGATGTTGTAAAGTCTATCAAGATGTATAGACAACGTATAATACAATACCGAGTTAAAACAGAGCAGAGGGATGAAAGGAAGGAGGAAGGAAACTGAGAAGGTTGAAATAAGAAAGAGAATAAGAAAGAAAAATAAAAATAAAGAGAAGACCCACCTGCTTACAGAGATGTAAATCACGCAATGAGGGTGTTAGTCAGGGTGGGGGTGGAGAGAAGGGATGTATAGTGACGTCATCTCCAACGGTTATCTGACGAAGTTTGAACTAAAGTACCGGAAGCGTAAATAAGGACGAGAGATATATTCATAAATATTATGGATAATTAAATGAAAGTTGATAGAAAGAGGCAATAAAATAGTTTAATATAAAATTAATTTATAATGAATAAATTATAAGTAAATAATTTATAGATTATAAATAAATTTATAATAAATTTAAACAGTGGATAGAAATTCTGGAGAGGCAATAAAATACAGATAATAACTGTTGAGGAATAATGGAGAATAATTGAAATTAATACATATCATATAAATATATATATATATATTCTAAATAAATAAATATATATATATATATATATATATATATATATATATATATTCAAACTTCACTATTTTATTGGGAATAAGGTCACTTAATTATTATTTAATAAACTAATTAATGTTCATTTCTTCTGTTTATTGACGTTTCGATCCCGGTATTTTCTTTTTATTAGTCAACCATGGGATCCTCTTCAAAGCTAGAATTTAAAAAAATATAGAGCTTCGATCAGGCCAAGGACACACCGACCTGTAAGGACACAAGCTCTATATTTTTTTAAATTCTAGCTTTGAAGAGGATCCCATGGTTGACTAATAAAAAGAAAATACCGGGATCGAAACGTCAATAAACAGAAGAAATGAACATTAATTAGTTTATTAAATAATAATTAAGTGACCTTATTCCCAATAAAATAGTGAAGTTTGAATTTAATACTCAAAGGTCGATGAAGGAAAAGTTGTAAATATATATATATATATATATAAATATATATATATATATAAAACTGACAACTTCCTCATCTACCTATCTATCTATCTATCTATATCTATATCTATATCTATATATATATATATATATATATATATATATATATATATATATATATATATATATATATATATATATATATATATAGATAGATAAGGAAGCTGTCAGTGAAAAGGAAAGGAATATAACTATGGATGTTTTAATAAATTCAGAATTTGAGAGTAGGCTAAAGATAAGTTTTGTTTGTCAGTTTTTCAATTCACTGTCTTCGGCTGTGGAGGGTTTCAGAAATGAGTCGTTTATCATGGTTGAGAACTGTGGCAAGGATTGATGTTTTGTCAAAATCAAATCTATGATTAAGGGAGAGAGAATGTTCGAATAATTTGGAGGCGGTAAAATTACGAGAGGATACAGAATATTTATGTTGGGTGATGCGGTCTTTTAGGAGATTTTTGGTTTCACCAATATAGGATGAAAAACAATTGGAGGCAGAACATGGAATACGGTAAACGATATGAGAGCGGTGTGAGGGAGGAACAGGATCTTTTAAGGATGTGTATAATTTAGAGAGTGTGTTCTGAGATTTGAATGCAAGTCGTAAGCTAGGGTTATATCTTTAGATATATTATATATATCTCTCGTCCTTATTTACGCTTCCGGTACTTTAGTTCAAACTTCGTCAGATAACCGTTGGAGATGACGTCACTATACGTCCCTTCTCTCCACCCCCACTCTGACTAACACCCTCATTGCATGATTTACATCTCCATAAGCAGGTGGGTCTTCTCTTTATTTTTATTTTTCTTTCTTATTCTCTTTCTTATTTCAACCTTCTCAGTTTCCTTCCTCCTTCCTTTCATCCCTCTGCTCTGTTTTAACTCGGTATTGTATTATACGTTGTCTATACATCTTGATAGACTTTACAACATCTCAATTTTCTATCTATTTTATTCACAATATCTTAATTTTACTGTTTATTTCCATTTCTTATATAACTTCATATTTTTCTGTTTTTTACATTTTATTCTAAGATTCCCATTTTAATACTTATGTCACCTTTTTTTTTTCATTATGTTAAATTCATCATTCCACACTTTGTACCGCTTATTATCATTTATCTCTTTTTTCTTAATATTGTCATTATTCTAACAACTGAATTTTACTTTAATTTTTTTTTTCCTACACTACTTATGTTTCTCATACCTTGTTATCTGGTTCTTTTCTTAGCCCTGATGATGGCTTGAACTTCAGGTCGAAACGTCGGCTAATATCAAAATAAATAGTATCATTTATTTTTGCCTTCTTATTAGGCTGATCACCCCAACTATTCTTCTCTCCATTATTCACGACAGTCAACCATTTACCAATTATAATGTAAATTTTATTTGATTGATTTTAAACATCACTCATCTTTAATAAATTATAATGACAAAAAGAGAATGCTCTGAAAATGGGGGTGTTATCCCAAAATGTCAACCATGAATTATAAATCATAAAATTTATGAGATAGTAATGGATGATATTTGTAATGCCAAATGACCTTAGTTATAATTAACATAGCTAAATAATAAACTTGAATGTACATTAACTTTATTTATATATATTCATTTTGATGGTCATCCTCATACATGTTAGTGCAACATATAATACAGATATAAAATGCAAATTTTATATAATCAAATTAAAGAATATTTAGATTTTGACCACTTCCTGTAATTCTTTATTTATTAATCCTCTTGGATATTTTGTGTATTGGTTTATTTATATATGTTTTTGATGTTCACTAAAAATATTTGTGCAGACCTTGATTAGACATTTCCAACAGTTTTCAACCCTTAGTTAGACTGTTACTGACATCTGTGAAGTTGACCATCAATATGTGCATAAATTATCAACCAAATATAATAAATTATCTATGTCATAACAATTACCTATCAGGATTGTACTCTAATGCATTTCGACACAATAAATCAACATCAGACAAAAAGTCTTGAGCACAAGTATATTTATGGAGATCAATTTTAGTCATCATTGTCTCAAGATCCATTGGCTCTTTAATAATTTGCAAGTAGTCTGGAACTTCTTTTATGTCCACAGGTTTTGAAAACATGTAAAACCTGTAACAAAACACTTTCCTCTATTAACTTTAATGCAAGAAAAAGCTAAAACTCTATAGTAGGAGAAGAAGAAAAATAAATTTTATTCTGGGACTAAGTACCCCTAGAATAACTACAATTTACAATGTACAGTTTAATGTACAGTTTAATACAATGTACAGTTTAATGACAATTGTCTGGCATTAGAAATAATTACGAATAAATTAAATTACAAGGTTATCTAAATCTAAAATTACAATAAAGAAAAGACACTGATAGACATATGAAATTATAGATAAATTCAGATATGAGAGTTCACATATTTGTACACATAAATATTGTGGGTAATACAGTAGTAGGTAATACAAATTAGAGCCAAAACTAAATAAAAAGCATTATACAAATACAGAGCACCTCAAAGATTTTATCTTAACACATTTGGAGGTGAACTTGAAGCACAGGCCAATTTATCCTTCCATTAACATTTGAGGATTTTCCATTGAAGATTGTTTATGTGGAATAAGTGAATTGAAGAAAACTTACACAGACCAAGCAACTGGTTTCCTGAAAAGTCAAATGTGTCCTTTTTCATAAATATTTTAAATTGTTTTAGAGCGCTGTTTTTAAAAGTGCCATTTTTATTTATTTATTTTAAGGCCAAATTATTGGTTAATTCGATTTTAAGTAGATTAAATTTTGAATAGATGGTTGATTTTATTTTTTCAAAATAATTGATTTTAGTAATTAATGGTTGATGGAAGGAAGAGATTGATATCATCATTTGCCAAAAACAAAGATTTGTTTTGTTATTCACTATATTAATTTAAGTTTAATTATATTAAATTTTCACTATTCTTTGATATTTTTTGAGAAAAAAATAATTGAGGCATAGAATTTAACTCCATTTTCAATTTTTATCTTTTTTTATTTTTAATTAACAGTTTGGTATTGGACTATCATTAAGTATAACAATTTTGTTTGAAAGGCAATACATAACTAAAGATCTGGTGTGTGCACCACGCGACATTCACTTACCTGTATTTATGATAAGTATTTTCAGACAAACGGGAAGTAAAAGTAAAAATTATAGACACTATATTTATTTACATCCCACTGCGGGTATTTTTATTTGTTTAATTATCCTTATGTATACAAATTTTAATTTTTATATCAGTGTAATCTATACAATTAAATTTAAATAATACCAGCAATAGCATTTATGAAAACCACATATGTATATGTACATAATATTGTCGGAGTCCATATTATAATAAGCTCATGTTATGTATGGAAGCCTGTTATAATCTTTCGGGTGAGCTTGTGTGGCCCGTTTTTCCTTTGGTTCCTCTATTTCAACTATTATCCATTATATCTCTTGTTTCTCCTTTAGTTAATTATCAAATTCTTTCATATTTTATATTTAACTATTTTTTATATCAAAGATTATTGTGAAATGGTCAATTATTTTAAATAAAAAAAATTAAAGGTACTTTAGAGGAAGCAAATATTGAAAATTAGCCATTTAAGCCCTGTTAGAGAACATCAACAAGAATAAAACTTACATTATATTAAAAACTGCTTAATAATACTAATACACTGATATACTGAGTTTAATCAAAATCATTAGAGCCATTAGTGAGAAAAGGTTATACAAAGTGTCACTTCCGGTTAGCCGATTTTGACAAAAAAATGTCTGTAAAATCGAGGGTATATACAAACCTTAAATATGCAATTTCATTTTCATATGACTCTTCGTTTTTTAGTTAGACTGGTCACATACATACACACACACAGATACACATTTTGCGGGACTTGGTTATTTGGACTCAGGAGACCTTAAAACATGTATTTCTGTTTAAAACTCTGATTCAAAAATTTTCAATATCGCAATATTGTCCCTAACTATGTATTTCATTTATAGGTAAGTGAAAGTAAAAAGTTTATTTAAAAAAATATTGAAAATTAAATGATATATTTTTGGAATTCTACACCTCAATTAATAATTTATTAAAAAAAATTTATAGTTTTCGGATTAAGAAAATTAAAAAAGATATCATGTATCAGTAGTCATAAGTTAATTGTAAATACTACTTATATATAGCATTTCCAAGTCAATTTCAACCTTTTCCGAATCAAATTCAACCTTTTCCAAGTCAAATCAAACCTTTTCCATTTCAAATGCAACCTTATCCAAGTCAAATTCAACATCCGAAAAGTGAAGGTCACACCAGGTGGTCCAATATTTATGCGGTGAAATAAATACTAAATTAAAGAAAATAGTATTATTTAATTTTTTTGCCGACGTTTCGACCCACTTTGCAGGTTTTTATCAGGGCTACAAAAGATACAAAATATAAAAGGTACATGGTGAAAATAAAATAAATGAATATAAGTAGATATAAAATAAGAAGAAGTTGTCTGATAAATAAATAAAAAGATGATATGAGAGATATAGTGGGTGACGATGCAGTTAAAATATCAAGTATTATATATATATATATATATATATATATATATATATATATAGAATATAGAAACAAAAATAGAAAATAAGTATGAATAAAAATAGAAAACAAAGGAGAATATAGCATGTAAGTTAAAAGTAAACAGATTGCGATAAAAGGTAAGGAATGAGTGTATAACAAACTAATAAAGATTACATTTGATAACTGTAGGTTAACAGATAAAGAAAATGAATGTTAACGAATAAAGAAATTGAAAATTGAATAAGTATTAATATAGTAAAGCTAAAATAAGAATAAGATAACATAATAATAAGATATCAGTGGATAACAATAATAATAATAATAAGATAACAGTGATTGTAGCCCTGATGAAGACCTGCAAAGTGGGTCGAAACACCGGCAAAAAAATTAAGTAATACTATTTTCTATAATTTAGTATTTATTTCACCCCCTCTCCCCCTCCCGATCAACTCCTTCTCATATTATATCACGGTCAACCATCTCTACATCAATAATAATAATAATAAATCAACAAAATAATACTACCTTCAATAATTGACTTGTTACAATATGAGGAGACTTTTTTATTACCTGGCTTCTCATCCACCTTCTTATAACTTTTGAAAAACCCATTCAGTTTTCATTTCAAATTGTAGCTTCCTTTCTTTGAAAGAGGTTATGTTTATTATTATTTAAAATGCCAAGCAACTATCATTTCAGATATGAAATTTCGAATGGGTTCTAAACTAATATTACTTGAAATGAAACAGTTTTTTTTAACAGACCACTGTGAAAAACAAGTACCAAGTGACACCACATACCATAAATACAAATTTTCATCCCTTAAATCTGTTGATATAGAAAAATTGTTTTCTAATTATAATAGATTTTAAATGATAAAAGATTAAGTTTCCCATTAACAACTACAGAAGCATTAAATTAAACAACTATTTTGTAACAAATAGTTATTACAGGTACAAAACTTACTGCTTGTTCCTGGCCAACTTAGAACATATCTGTCTCAAAAAAATTCTAAGTTCACGCAATGTGTTCTCTTCATCTTCATACATAGCCTTCATTTGTTCTTCAGAAAGTTTGGGTGGTGGTGGAGGAGGAGCTAACTTCAATTCTTCATTTTCTATAAATTTAAGCAGAATGTGACTGACTAATCATGTTTAAAAAAAGTAAATATTTACCATAAATTATAAAACACAAAGTAAAGAAAAAAGTATTCTAGTTTTATATATAAAAAATGTGGCGTAGTGAGCAAATCACACTACTATCACTTATCAACCTGTTTAGAGTAGAAATAGTTTTTTTTCATACATAGATTAGTAAAAGTAAAAATTGGATCTTTTAGAAAAATTCTGGGATCCACGCCCCAACATGCTCGATCATTCTGTCCTATCTTATAGAAACTTGAGCTGATACCTATATATCAGCTTTTCGGCCTTATTTTATCTGGGTAAATTCAAAATTTCACTTGGAAAATTCTACTTATCGCTAGTAAATGAGTATATCAATTATCTAGGAATCAACCTGTATAGAAGCTAGAGAAAAGGAGTTTCAGATGAACACATAATCCGGATGACTATTTCTCTGTTAAGACTCTTCGAAACCTTACCCAATCTTCTTTGCGACGTGCTAAGGCACAATTCTTTCATTCTTCCTTGTCACAAGCCTCAGATCCTACATCCAGATGGAAAATCCTTATAAACCTCTCCGTGGTAAAATAAAAAACCTGCACCTCCTACCCTGTTTCTTCAGACCAACTGAATTACCACTTTGCCGATCCTGACTCATTACCACGTTCCTCCTCATACTGTATTCCTAAAGCTTCCTTTGACCCTGAAAATTTCTATTTTACAAATATTTTACCAGAAGATTACTTTCCTCTGTCCTAAAATCCAGAACAAACGATTATCGCCCGGACCTAATTCCTATGAAGTTAATGTTAATCAAATTATGTCTTCCTGCCCTACTGCACATTTACAACTTTTTCTTACAGAATTCCAGTTCCCCGTCACCTTGGAAAAAAGTTATTGTCCATCCACTGAGCAAAGTTCCGGTTCCCTCCAAAGTTTCCGATTTCAGACCCATCTCCATTCTCTCCAATCTTTCAAAGCCTTTTGAAGGAATAGTCCACTCACACCTTCCTTGAGCAAAAAGCTCTCCTCAATCCCTTCCAGTCTGGTTTCATATCCCAGTTATCCACCCAATCCTCTTTACTGAAAATTTCTCAGGACCTTCATTTCTCTATAGACAAACAGAAAATCACGATCCTAGTCCTCTTCGATTTTTCAAAGGCTTTCGATTCCGTAAATCACAAAATCCTCCTTCCCAAACTCCAAAACCTTTCCGTATCAAATAGTGCTTTGAAGTGGTTCCATTCTTTTTTGTATCAAAGATCCCAAATAGTCATCATTCCTAATAAAAATCTTTCCTCCCCCTCTTACTGGGGGGTGCCTTTCGCACTGAAAGACAAGGTCAAAAGAGAAATAAAAAGATTAATTTCTGTAGGTAATCTAGAGCCTGTGACGGATAGTAGTTGGGCGACACTTATAGTGCCTGTTCTAAAATCCAATAGGGAAGTTAGAGTGTGTGGTAACTTTAAGTTAACTGTCAATCCACATTTAATTATCAAGCGTCAACCTGTGCCAAGCAAAGAAGAGGTTTTTAGTAAATTACAAGTAGGTAATAAATGGTCCCAGATTGATTTAGCACATGCATTCATGCAATTCAGAGTTGATGAAAGTTCCAAAGAAGCACTAACGATTATTACAGATGAAGGTTTATTTCAATATACCAAACTACCGGAGGGTATGGCGTCCAGCCCTGGCGAATGTCAGGAAATTTTAATGGAAATACTTAAGGGGATTCCTTACACTGAAATTTACATTGATAATATTTATTGTACAGGTAGAACAGATGAAGAGCACATTTCTATCATAACCGAAATATTTAGGAGCTTAAATGACGCAGGCTTAAAAGTAAATGAAAGAAAGTGTGAATTTTAAAAAGTAAGTTGGAGAGTTTAGGATTTGTTCTGGATAAACAAGGAATTCATCCAGCAGAAAGTAAGGTTATTGCAGTCACGGATGCTCCAAGGCCTAAAGGTTGCAAACAGTTAAGGAGTTTTCTTGGATTGGTGAATTATTATGTATCATTTCTGAAGCACAGAGCTGATAAACTGAGTAGTCTTTATGATTTGCGGAAGTCAGAAAAGTGGTATTGGTCCGAAGAATGTGAGGAAAGCTTCAAATGGATCAAGAAACAAATCGTGTCAGATAAGGTATTGACTTTGTTTGATCCAAATGAACAATTAGTCCTGTCATGAGATGCCAGACAATTTGGACTGTCAGTAATTTTGGTAACTGAGAGGCATAGGGCAATCATTGATAAAGAAGCTGCTGCCATCATCTTTGGCTTCAAGAAATTTTACCAGTATGTTTATGGAGCTCACATAATTCTTAGAACAGACCATGAACCTTTGAAATACATTTTTGGAAATTACAAAAATCTATCTGTCACAATTCAAAATAGATTACAAAGATGGGCTTATTATCTTCCAGGATTCACTTACAGTATAGAAGTTGTAAGATCCTCAGGAAACAGTAACTGTGATGCCTTGTCAAGATTGCCTTTGAATGACCACACTCCGGTATTTCATACAGAATTTACAGCTCTTAACTATGTGGAAGAGGGGATGCCTTTGTTGAATTACAAACAAGTGGTCACTAAATCAGTGAAAGATAGAATATTAAGCAAGGTGATAAATTGGGTAGCCGCGGGGAGGCCTACTGAAAATAAGAATTTATCTGAGATCGAAAAGAAATTTTTCTCAAAGAAACTAGAATTATCGCTGGATAAAGGATGTCTCATGTGGGGAATAAGAGTGGTTATACCAGAATCACTTCACCTAATATTACTAAAGCATTTACACATATCACACCTTCGTATAACTAAGATAAAGCAAATGGCAAGATCTTATTTTTGGTGGCCGAACTTGGGTTTAGATATTGAAAATTACGTTAGAAATTGCTTCACCTGTGTAGCAAATAAAAAGAATCCAACCAAAATTGCGAATTCACAGTGGTCTTATCCAAGCAAAGCTTGGTCTCGACTACATGCTGATTTCTTAGGTCCTTTACGAAATAGGATGTTTTTAGTTGTCATAGATGCCCACAGCAAATGGCCAGAAGTTTTTGACAAGAGAGATAATACGAAAGGCTGGAAGGTTATTCAAATCTTCAAAAAGTTATTTGTCAGACACGGATTGTGTGATCATTTGGTTACTGATGGAGGACCCCAATTCACAAGTAGTTTATTCAGAAGACTCAGTTATTTGTGTTAGTTAATTTGTGTTCTTAGTTTTATACAAGACTTATATGTATTTTTGATCATTTTTTTCATGTTTTTAATATGTTGCTATTTTTATAACTATGATACACTGTCTTTATAAAGGGGGAAATTGTGATATATCGATTATACCAATTAGTGATTTAGTTGTATTACTCTAACAGTGTTATCTTTCATAATGAAAAAAGAGTTGTGATTACTAATAGTGTAGTTTAGTGTTTTAATATTCAAATAGTTAACATGCGTCATGTAATAATTTTTAAATTCATATGTCCACTTCAAGATCACATGTTTACTACAGTGTCTTTGTTTTAACATTAAGATTAGACAACTTTGTAAATTAATTTATTTTTAATTGTCATTTAATTATTCACAACCGCCAGGTAATTTTCATTTCTCTGTTCATTGTAGTTATTCTGAGGGGACTAAATGTCCCAGAATAAAATTTACTTTCTTTCTTTTCTTATAAACTAGAGCGGATACTGATATCCCTAGATCGATATATCGGCCTTTAGGTCTTATTTTATCTGGTTTACCAAAGTTTCACTTGGAAAATTCTGCTTATTGCTAATAAATATATTAATGAATTGTCTAGGGATCAAAGTATAGATAAATTTGAGCAGATACAGATATTCAAAATGAAACTCAAAATAAGGTCATAAGGCTGATATATAGTGGTTTTTGGAATATCGAAAGCTGTCAACATTTCTTTAACAATCGATCCATAAATGATCAATTGAAGCGTTCATGCAAGAATAAGGAGTATATTTCAAGTTAAACAGTAAGAAAATGAACGGAAAGAAAAAATGCTGATTTATCAGTGCTTGGAATATTTACACTACATCAATTAATTCAAACCTTTACTCAGCAATAAGTAGAATATTTGAAGTGAAATTTTACCAACCCTAATTTGATAAGGCCGTAAGACCAAATATTGACTTTTAGAATATCAATATCAGCTCATATATCTATACAGGCCAATCTCAAGATAATTGATTGAAACGTCCATTCAGTAATAAAGAGAATATTCTAAGTTAAATTTTACCAATCCTGATAAAATAAATTTGAAAGGACAATCATTCTTTGGAATATTGGTATCTGCTCAAGTTTATGTATATATCAATCTCTTGACAATTGATTGACATATACTCTATAAGAAATGTTCTCCAGAAATCTTGGGACCAGAATAAAAGTATGTAACTGGTATTTCTTGATCTTAAAAACTAAGAATGTACCAAGGAACTTAGTGGATGCCATGCCAACAACACCCAAAGGGAGTTGTTCGGTTGAACGGGTTGGAGTCCAGACACTTTAACATAACAAGGGGGGTTATGTTACTCACTCTTTCCGACCCTTTTCTCCATTTGAATTAGCGACCTTCCTGACTAATTCCTTCAAACAATTCCTATTCCTCCACGAACTACAGATCCAAACTTCCGCAAGCTGGTAAGAATTTTTAAGTTATGTAATTATAATTGCTTGCCAACAGTTAATTGATAAGAGCCTATTTGTTTATAATTGCATTTTTTTAACTCTGCTGTTATTCTAAGGGAACTTTAATCCCAGAATAAAATTATTTTTATATTTAAGTAGGAAGGCAAATTGGATATATTCATATATGTACCCTGCAATGGAGAGGAATTGGAAATGGTCATTGACTTCACCTACCTAGGAACAGTCATTGGCAGATCTCAGAAAGTGGATTCGGAAATATCTAACAGAATAAGAAAGGAAAATGCAGTCTACCACCACATTTGCAACACTGTTGCAAGAAATCAG